TACTGGGGATCGAGCCTGCAACCCGGGCGTGTGCCCTGACCGGGAGTCAAACCAGGACCTCTCAGCCCGTGGGAGACGCTCCGGCGCTGAGCCACACCGGCCGGGCACTCGCCCCTTTTCTGTGAGCCTGTGGGTGTCCCTCATCGGTATGGCTCACTCTTCTGCCGCAGGAGGGGAGGAACTCAATGCAGTTTCCTGCTACATTGTTGCTTATCACGAGAGCCGGAGCTGTTAGCATTGCATTCCCCATTCTTCGTCAATAGCATCTTAGTGGCTGAATAGTCCTTCCAAGGACCATTGGGAAAAGTCTCCGCCAGAATTTAGTTCCAGAAAAAATGTCTGCAAATGGATTTCTGGGGGGGCAGCGTACTACAGGGGAAATGACTCTGGAAACGTATTGCATCGAAATGACCGGCTGAACACGACCTACCTGCTGCTCCAGGGCCTCCCTGGAAATGGGGGCTCACCGATTTCAGGGCGGTCACAGAGCAGTGTGCAGTCGGGATGCTGGGATTGCACGCTTCAAGCTGACATGAGGCCATTCACCCGGGTCACCCCAATAATACGTTAATAAAAAGTGATCATTTCTTTTCATCCAAAGTCAACATGCACTCCTGGAAGCTGGATGCGTCAGGGGAGCAGGCATGACCCTCCCTGGAGGACGGAGGCTGCCCAGGCAGGGCAGGGCGGGGCGGGGCTGCCCCAGGCTGTGCCCTTTCACAGGCTGGTGCCAGGTGAAGACGCTGTTGACCAGCGGGGGGAGCTGAGCTGCTCCCCAGGTCCTGCTCCAAGCCTCAGGCTGAGGAGGCCACACCAAGGGGGGAGCAGGGAGCAGGGAACCCAGAGATCGAGGCTGTTGGTGGCTGGTGACCGTGGAGATCGGATCTGTGGTGTGTGTGTGTATGTGTGATTGTGTGTGTGTGAGTGTGTGTGTTGTGTGGGTGTGTTCACATGAGTGTGTGTAACAGTGTATATGTGTGCGAGTTGTTTGTATGCTTGTGTGTTTGCATGAGTGTGTGTGTGTGTGAGTGTGAGTTTGTGTGAGTGTGCACGCTCAGTCCTCTCTGGCTGAGTAGTGGTGACTTCCCCACCAGCTGGGTGGTGCAAAGCGCACACTCCCCCCGCCAAGTTCCCGTGGGTCGGAGGACAGAGCGGCTTTGCCCAGCCTTGTCCAGGTCTCATGAGAAAGCTGTGGGGCTGCAGACTCCCCTCAGGACCGCGTGGGGCAGAGTCCACTCCCGCGACCACCTGGTTGTTGGCGGACTCGATTCCGTGTAGCCCTGGTGGATGGCCTCGGTCTCCCACTGGGTGCCGGCTGGGTGGTGGTACCAGCATCCTCCGCGTGGCCTGCACAGGGTGCACTGCTTGGCCCCGCCAGCAGGGGGAGTGTGGCCAGCGAGGTGGCCACAGGCTGTGCAGAGTAGCCCAGAAGGGCGTCCGGTCATCATCGGATGCTCGCTCCTTGGCAGAGTCACCAGTTCCACACACACTCAGGAGGTTTCACAAGGGTGTACCTGCCAAGAGGCGGGGTCACGGGGCACCTCACGTCTGTCTGTCCTCCGCAGGATGTGGGGTGCAGAAAAGAAATACACAAATGTGTTTGGCAATTGGTTGGATTCAAGTCTGAAATGGACAAGAACCCAACAGCTCTTGCCTCTGGGTTCAACAACGTCAGGGCGACACTGGCTATCTCGGTGTCTTCCCTGAGCCTCATTTCCTCGTGGATGAGATGGAGACGGACCTGGATGAATGAGCCCCTCCATCTCTCACTACATGTCAGGCAATGGAATGTCTGCCCCCCGCTGTCTCCGAGTGACGTCCATCTGAGACCCCCGCCCACCCGAGAGGGATGAGCAGGGTCACTCCCAGCACCGAGATTCTGGCTGTTTGTAACAGCGGTGACATCTAACCTTTCCTGACTGGAGTGTTCTTCCAGGAGATCAGTGGGCGGAGGTGCCTGGCTAACAGCTGCGGACGACATCAGGGGCCACGCAATGGCGGCTAAGACGAGGCCGTGGGGCTACCTGGGGTGGATGTGGAGTCCGAGTCTGCTGATCGGTGACCTCGTGACATTGGGCAGCTCTTCGTGTCCATTTCCATATTAAAAACCATGATGCCGCCCTGGCGGTTTCGCTCAGCAGTTAGAGCATCAGCCTGCGGATCGAAAAGTCATGGGTTCGGTTCTGGTCAGGGGCACATGCCTCGGTTGCGGTTCGGTCCCTAGGAGGCAACCAAGCAACGTGTCTCTCGCATTGATGCTTCTTTCTCTTTCTCTTTCTCCCTTCCACTCTATCTGAAGATAAATGGAAAAAATATCCTCAGGCGAAGATTTAAAAACAATCACGATGCCCACATCATAATAAGATCATTGCAAAAATTAACTGAGCATTTGTTAAGAGCTTGGAGAGGTGCCCTTTGCCACAGACATTAGTAAAATTACCAGAGGTACATGGAAAGTGCTAGAACAGAACCTGGTGCAGGGTAAGCCCTCCGTGAATATTTATTATTCATCATATTTAAATTAATAACAAATACTGAGTAACAGTCAAATATATAGCCAATAATTTTCTCTGAGAAAGGCTAAAAGGAGATAGGAAAATAGAAACAAACAAAAGTGTGTTTATCTATCTATCTATCCCTATGTATTTTTTAATTGATTTTTTTTCTTATTGGAGGGTAACAAATCTATAGGCCGGTGCCGGTGGGTTTTGCCTCTGGGAGATGTTTGTCCCTTTACATTCAGGAGTGTCCTGGGAAGCTGAAGCAGAGCCCGCCGGGTGGACTGTCACCGGCTGATGGCCAGCAGGCCACCTGTGACCAGTGCTGGGCACGTCTGTGAGTGGACATTGCAAAGGACCCGGGCTCCGGGCCAGCTCAGAGCCAAGCACAGACACAGTCCCTGAAACCTCACCAAAGAATGGCCTGAAAACATGGGTGATTTATTCTGTAGAATCACCTGAGATACTCATGAAAAAATACAGATGTCAGGGGGGTGATGGCGAGGACAGAGCTGTGGGAATCTGAGTTTCAAATAAGCTCTTTGTTCTGCAATGTTTTCAGGGCGTTCTGCCCGCCTTAGAGTGACCGTCCTGCAGTCCAGAGCCCTCGCCACTGGACCCTGGTGGCAGATGATCCAAATTCAGGTTCACACACCATCCATGGCGAAGTCAGCGGTGACCTCCCCCCGGGAACTGTCCGCGTCACAGTAACACGGGGCGGCCCCCGCCCCGCCGCACAGACACCCTCTGAGCGCTCCAGGGCAGCTTCTGTAGAGTTTGTATAATTCGGACCCTGGAGGCCACGGCATCTTATTTTAATTCATTCCTTTTGAAAACAGGCCTTGTCTTTGGGTCCTCTCCCACTGCAAGCCCTCACCACAAGCAGCCGTTTCGCAGAAGAAACCACATCCATGTACCTGAGAGGACCTGTCGGGCGCTCTCCTGGGGGAGAGCCCGAGAGAGGCGGACTCGTGACAGATCTGACGGAGACACTTGTTCGCCTGTTGGCTCTGGGGCGCCCACTAAGTGGGCAGTAAGCAAGAGGCGCTGGTGTCCAGGAAGTTTTACGTTTCTACGTTCAGAGATCTGGGTGCTTCGTCACCTAAGGCTGCTCTCTACGCATTCAAATTGGAGTTCTCAGCGTCGCTGAGCTCAGTCTGTCTGGTTTGCCTCTGTCATGAGACGTGGCCCCCGGGGGTGAGACGTGGCCCCCTGGGGGTGAGACGTGGCCCCCGGGGCGTGAGACGTGGCCCCCAGGGTGTGAGATGTGGCCACGGGGCGTGAGACGTGGCCACGGGGCAGGGCTGAGTTTCTAACGTGACTGCTATTTCACGATGAATCCGGCCTGTGTCACTAGGAGTCGGTCTGAAACAGGCCCGACGCAGCGTGGCTTTGAGACGGACAGCTGTCCCCTCAGCCCTGCGTGGCTTCTCCTTCACAGGACGGCCTGGCAGAGGTCACGGTCATTTACAGCCCAAGAGTGTCTGTTCTCCATGAAAAATCACACAAAAACATGTTAACGAGGAGGGTGCTCATCAATGAAATGCAGGAAAATTACTAGTTGGCTACTCATGGCTTCATGCAGCCTCTGCAGAAAGACCTCGGGTGGATCTGTGTAGCAGTGTTGTGACATTTTTATGTTTTATTTCTTTTTGTTTTTTGTTTAATCCTCACCCGAGGATATTTTTCCATTTATCTTCAGACAGACTGAGGGGGAGGGAGAGAGGGAGAGGGACACGTCGATTGGTTTCCTCCCTCACGACCTCGACCAGGGCCGGGGATGAACCACAACCAAGGTACGCGCCCTTGACCAGAATCGAACCCGAGACTCCCCAGTCTGTGGGCCGATGCTCTAACCACTGAGCCAAACCGGTCAGGGTAATGTTTAAAAAATTTTAAAATGTTATCGAGGTGAGATTTACCTAACACAAAGTCAACCATCTCACAGTGACCATCAGCACTGCCCGGCACACCTGTAGTGTGTCACAAGCACCACCTCGACTCCGAATGACCAGGGTGGAGATGCCTTTCTCCAAAGAAAACTCCACACCCGTTTCAGGTGGGCATCGAGGTCTCTGAGCGGCACGTGGGGAGAATTTCAAGAACCTACCGCAGTGTTTACGTTGTGCCAAAGCCTTTCCGGTGCCGCTCTGTCCGAGGGGGGGCTTAGGGTGGGTGTGAAGGTCCGATTGGTGCCTTCAGAACAGCAGCCGCTGCCCACAGACTTGGGGTGTGCCAGGGCCAGCCTCGGGCTTTGATGACGCCGCACATTCCTTTGCGAACAAAAACGCCAACAAAAATGTGGGCCGTGAGTCTGCCTGTTCCTTTGTGTGGTTTTATTAGCAAACACCCAAGTTACTTATGCAAATGAGGGGGAGATGCCTGGGCAAGCGTGTCACCCCCACCGGGCGGAGGTATAAAAAGCGGGTGCGGGAGGGGAGCTCCATTCCCACCCAGGACTTGCTCTCCGCGATCTAACCAGCCCCTCCTGCTCCAGCTGCCATGACCCGCTTCTTCTGCTGCGGAAGCTACTTCCCGGGCTACCCCTGCTACGGGACCAACTTCCACAGGACCTTCAGGGACACCCCCCTGAACTGTGTCGTGCCCCTGGGCTCACCCCTGAACTGTGGTTACGGTTACGGGTGCGGCGGCTACGGCTCCCTGGGCTATGGCTACGGGGGCAGCTGCTGCCGGCCCTGGGGCTGGGGCTCCGGCTTTGGCTACAGCACCTACTGAGCAGCCGGCCTCCGGCGGGCCAGGGTCGCCAGCCACCTGAAGGCCAGGGCTGCCTTCCGCCTCCAGATGTGCTGGGGAGAGTCCTCGGACTTCCTGCTGACCTCTGGCCTCTGGTGATGCTGAGCGGGTCACCCGGGCATCCGATGCCAACTGATGCCTACCTGCAGCCGAAGACAGCGAGACGCCCTTCCCCCATGTGCTTGGTTCTAGCGGCCACGCAGGTGGTGTGCGGGGAGCGTCCTCACCTACGATGGGCAGGCTGGGTGCGGGGGGAGGGTTTCTGCTGCCCGGCCCGTAATAAACACAACTGATTCAGCACAAATAGTTTTGCTCCGGTTGTTTCTTTGCTGTGCTTTTCTGGTTTTGAACCCGTCGACCAGTTCCCACCTGTCCCGGTCGAATGCAGCCAGATCTGATCCTGACTTCAGACAGTCCGTGAGGACAGGGTGATGCCCCACAAGTCTGCTTCCTTCAGAGATGTCGACGTTTAAAAATTTCATTAAAACATACGAAGTTTCGTCCTAGCCGGTTTGGCTCAGTGGTTAGAGCGTCGGCCCACGGACCCGAGAGTCCCGGGTTCGGTTCCCGCCGGTTTGGCTCAGCGGTTAGAGCGTCGGCCCACGGACCAGAGAGTCCCGGGTTCGGTTCCCGCTGAGGGCATGTACCTCGGTTGTGGTCTGTCCCCGGCCCTGGTTGGGGTCGTGTGGGTGGCAGCCAGTCAATGTGTCTCTCTCACGTCGATGTTTCTCTCTCTCCCTCCTTCCTCTCTCCCTCCCGCTTTATCTGAAGATAAATACAAAAATGTCCTCGGGTGAGGATTAAAAAAGAAAAACATACTTAGTCTAACCCAAACATAGTATAATTGTCAGTGTTTCTCTGTGCTGATTGCAAAGTGGTTGCCCGCGGTAACGGTTTCTTTGTCCCTTTCATTAACGACAAATCCATTTTGGTTCTTTTCCCGAAACTGTTCATGGAAGTCAACTGGAGAGAAGCTTGAACCCACAGACTTGGAAGAATTTCAGCTAAATGGACTTAGTTCCGAATCTCTGTGGTTAGGGGTTTCTGGTCAAGAAAGAGGAGATGGCAGCCAAAATCACCTAATATCCGCCCCCCTTTGGTAGATGGGTTCCCGGCTTCCCACCCTCTTCACTGGGAACTCGCACAGCTGCGTTAAGTGAACCTTTTACTCTTTGGAACGACAGCGGTCATCAGAAGCCCGACACGATATGTGTCTGCACCGCGAACTCCGTCTCGCTGCCTGAGCAATCGCCGCTTTGTCGAAGCCGCGTCCTTTAGGCTGGGGTCGAAGCGAACGTGCGTGTCTAGATGTGTGCTGCACCCCCGTCTCAGGAAGATGCTCGGGGGCGCTCATGGGCTGGGCTGCTGACTGGCCTATGGGCACAGGGCACTGTAAGGGCCGATGGGAAGGTCCTTCGGGTGTGTGTGGATGAAGGGCCGCTGGGCTCGGGCCACCAGGCCAAGAATCGGGGGGTCTGTGAGAGCCCACGGCAGAGACTCGGGCCTGAGAAGCTGACCCCCATCAAGAGGGTCTCATTCGACAGACACGGTCACCAAACACTCATCAGTGTCCTAAGATTTAGGGATGAGTGATAATTAACCCTTGCCCTCAAAAGTAAAATACACTGTGTTTAATACTTAACGGACATTTACTAGTCTTCTATTTCATGTCAATTAATGTGCTATGAATAGTTATCCAAAGACAGATATTTCTTACTTACGTCCTTCCAAGGACTCAAAATAAAAGCCTACAATCAGATCTATCTATGTATCCATACTTCTATGTATCTATCTATCTATCTATCTATCATCTCTATCGACTATCTATCTATCTATCTATCTATCTATCTATCTATCTATCTATCTATCATCTCTATCGACTATCTATCTATCTATCTATCTATCTATCTATCTATCTATCTATCTATCATCTATCTATCTATCTATCATCTATCTATTAATCTATCATCTATCTATCTATCTATCTATCTATCATCTCTATCGACTATCTATCTATCTATCTATCTATCATCTATCTATCTATCTATCATCTATCTATCATCTATCTATCTATCTATCTATCTTTCTATCAATTATCTATCTATCTATCTATCATCTATCTATCAATCAATCTATCACCTATTATCTATCTATCTATCATCTATCTATCAATCAATCATCTATTATCTATCTATCTATCATCTATCTATCTATCATCTATCTATCATCTATCTATCAATCAATCTATCATCTATTATCTATCTATCATCTATTATCTATCTATCTATCTATCTATCTATCATCTATTATCTATCTATTATCTATCTATCTATCATCTATCGATTATCTATCTATCTATCTATCTATCATCTATCTATCATCTATCAATCAATCTATCATCTATTATCTATCTATCTATCATCTATCTATATATCATCTATTATCTATGTATCTATCTATCTATCTATCTATCTATCTATCTATCTATCATCTATCAATCAATCATCTATTATCTATTTATCTATCTATCTATCTATCTATCTATCTATCATCTATCTATCTATCATCTACCGATCATCTATCTATCATCTATCTATCAATCATCTATCTATCAATTGATCATCTATCATCTATCTATCTATCATCTATCTATCTATCTATCTATCTATCTATCTATCTATCATCTATCTATCTATCTGCGACCCCACTTACCCTGAGAACAAGGAAGGTGTGATGGTCACAGCGAGGACGTCTAGTGTGGATGTGACACTACCAGCTCACCCAGTGCTCACTTCACTCTGCCCACCGTCCCGTAGCGTCCTCGTCGTTGTTCTCACCCGGGTGCGGTGCCCAGTGTTAGACGCAGGCACAGCGGGGCGGCGGGGTGTGCCGGGCCCTGCGTCCGGGTCAGGACAGCTGCGGCGGTGCAGGGCTGTCTGATGGTGCGGGCGCTCTCACTGACAGAGATCCACAGTCCCAGGCGCCGGGAGGGGCTTGTTCCAGGATTTGGGCTGGAATTTGTTGATTTTGGAGAGGATGAAAGGAGGTAGGGTCTCTTCTGGCCCAGCCACTGTCATGACAAATGTCTACAGAATCGAAGGCTTAAAACAACACAAGTTCATTCTCCTACGGTTTCGGAGCTCAGACGTGTCAGAGGGTGGTAGCGGGCTCGGCGGGAGGTTTTGGGGGACGGCCTTCCTGCGCAGGCCCAGAGGAGAATCCACGCCCCGTCTTTCCCAGCATCCAGTTCCCCGGGATGTGTTCCCATCGGCCAGTCCGATCGTCACATCTCTCTCCCTGACTCTGACTCGGACCCTCCGCCTTCCTGTCTCCCCTGAAGGACCCCTTGATTGCACTCACCAGGCAGAGAAGCCAGGGTCACCCCCACTCAGGGCCAGGAGAGTAGCACCCGTACGCCCCCTTGCACCCAGCAGAAATGTTCACAGGTCCTGGCTTGTCATCCCTGGGGCCGTGTCTGCCTCCCACAGGCCCGTGGGGAGTGGGTCACTCGGGGCGGGGCTTGCACGTGTGTTTGGGAGGGGCCAGCGCTGAGGCCAGTAGGCGAAGCACAGCCCGAGGTCACGCGCGTCGTTTCTAGGCCTTGAACGGTGTTCGTGGCTTCACCTGCGTGGTCCTGTCCCGTCTCACTCCGCCCCCAGCCTGGCCATGTCTTGTCCCGTGTCTGCAGGTGTGTACGGGAACAGGGGTGCTCTGTCTTCCATCACAGCGCCACCTGGGCGGCTGTGGCGCGGTCTCACCCTGGTCAACCCCCAGGTCTGATTCCCACCCTCTAGCGTGTGGGCTGGAGGATCCCCCGGGGACATGCACTGAGCTTCATCCGATGTTTCATTACCGGGCCCGGACCCCAGATGCTCGGTCAACATTTGTTGTATTAGTGTGATTATTTAAACCCAGAGACAACTTACCCCCTCGCTACCCACGAATAGGTCAGAGGACAAGAAACATTGGCGTTCCCTGGGACGTGTTCAAGGTGTGGAGTCCTGGGCCCTCCCCTAACACACTGCTCTCCACACGTCCTTGGGATCCGCAGGTGAGGTGTGCTCGGCAGGTGAGGGACCCGCAGGTGGTGGGTGTGCTCGGCAGGTGAGGGGCCCGCAGGTGGTGGGTGTGCTCGGCAGGTGAGGGACCCGCAGGTGGTGGGTGTGCTCGGCAAGTGAGGGGCCCGCAGGTGGTGGGTGTGCTCAGCAGGTGAGGGGCCCACAGGTGGTGGGTGTGCTCGGCAGGTGAGGGGCCCACAGGTGGTGGTGGTGGGTGTGCTCAGCAGGTGAGGGGCCCACAGGTGGTGGGTGTGCTCGGCAGGTGAGGGGCCCACAGGTGGTGGTGGTGGTGTGCTCAGCAGGTGAGGGACCCGCAGGTGGTGGGTGTGCTCGGCAGGTGAGGGGCCCACAGGTGGTGGGTGTGCTCAGCAGGTGAGGGGCCCACAGGTGGTGGGTGTGCTCGGCAGGTGAGGGGCCCACAGGTGGTGGTGGTGGGTGTGCTCAGCAGGTGAGGGACCCACAGGTGGTGGGTGTGCTCGGCAGGTGAGGGGCCCACAGGTGGTGGGTGTGCTCAGCAGGTGAGGGGCCCACAGGTGGTGGGTGTGCTCGGCAGGTGAGGGGCCCACAGGTGGTGGTGGTGGGTGTGCTCAGCAGGTGAGGGGCCCACAGGTGGTGGGTGTGCTCGGCAGGTGAGGGGCCCACAGGTGGTGGTGGTGGGTGTGCTCAGCAGGTGAGGGACCCACAGGTGGTGGGTGTGCTCAGCAGGTGAGGGGCCCACAGGTGGTGGTGGTGGGTGTGCTCGGCAGGTAAGGGGCCCACAGGTGGTGGGTGTGCTCGGCAGGTGAGGGGCCCGCAGGTGGTGGGTGTGCTCGGCAGGTGAGGGGCCTGCAGGTGGTGGGTGTGCTGGGCAGGTGAGGGGCCCGCAGGTGGTGGGTGTGCTCAGCAGGTGAGGGACCCGCAGGTGGTGGGTGTGCTCGGCAGGTGAGGGGCCCACAGGTGGTGGGTGTGCTCAGCAGGTGAGGGGCCCACAGGTGGTGGGTGTGCTCGGCAGGTAAGGGGCCCACAGGTGGTGGTGGTGGGTGTGCTCAGCAGGTGAGGGACCCGCAGGTGGTGGGTGTGCTCGGCAGGTGAGGGGCCCACAGGTGGTGGGTGTGCTCGGCAGGTGAGGGGCCCGCAGGTGGTGGGTGTGCTCGGCAGGTGAGGGGCCCGCAGGTGGTGGGTGTGCTCGGCAGGTGAGGGGCCCGCAGGTGGTGGGTGTGCTGGGCAGGTGAGGGGCCCGCAGGTGGTGGGTGTGCTCGGCAGGTGAGGGGCCCGCAGGTGGTGGGTGTGCTCGGCAGGTGAGGGGCCCGCAGGTGATGGGTGTGCTCGGCAGGTGAGGGGCCCGCAGGTGGTGGGTGTGCTGGGCAGGTGAGGGACCCGCAGGTGGTGGGTGTGCTGGGCAGGTGAGGGACCCGCAGGTGGTGGGTGTGCTCGGCAGGTGAGGGGCCCGCAGGTGGTGGGTGTGCTCAGCAGGTGAGGGGCCCACAGGTGGTGGTGGTGGGTGTGCTCAGCAGGTGAGGGGCCCACAGGTGGTGGGTGTGCTCGGCAGGTGAGGGGCCCACAGGTGGTGGTGGTGGGTGTGCTCAGCAGGTGAGGGACCCGCAGGTGGTGGGTGTGCTCGGCAGGTGAGGGGCCCACAGGTGGTGGGTGTGCTCAGCAGGTGAGGGGCCCACAGGTGGTGGTGGTGGGTGTGCTCGGCAGGTAAGGGGCCCACAGGTGGTGGGTGTGCTCGGCAGGTGAAGGACCCGCAGGTGGTGGGTGTGCTCAGCAGGTGAGGGACCCACAGGTGGTGGGTGTGCTCGGCAGGTGAGGGGCCCACAGGTGGTGGGTGTGCTCAGCAGGTGAGGGGCCCACAGGTGGTGGTGGTGGGTGTGCTCAGCAGGTGAGGGACCCGCAGGTGGTGGGTGTGCTCAGCAGGTGAGGGACCCACAGGTGGTGGGTGTGCTCGGCAGGTGAGGGGCCCACAGGTGGTGGGTGTGCTCAGCAGGTGAGGGGCCCACAGGTGGTGGTGGTGGGTGTGCTCGGCAGGTAAGGGGCCCACAGGTGGTGGGTGTGCTCGGCAGGTGAGGGGCCCGCAGGTGGTGGGTGTGCTCGGCAGGTGAGGGGCCCACCGGTGGTGGGTGTGCTCGGCAGGTGAGGGGCCCACCGGTGGTGGGTGTGCTCGGCAGGTGAGGGGCCCACAGGTGGTGGGTGTGCTCAGCAGGTGAGGGGCCCACAGGTGGTGGTGGTGGGTGTGCTCGGCAGGTGAGGGGCCCGCAGGTGGTGGGTGTGCTCGGCAGGTGAGGGGCCCGCAGGTGGTGGTGGTGTCTCAGACCGGCAGGCGGGGGAGGGACGCTCACTGAACCCGAGCCTCGCCCCTGAACTTGGGCGTTCATCCGAATCTTTTCCCCTTTATCGTGCACAGTGTTATCTTTTTTTTTTTTATCCTCACCCGAGGACATTTTTTTTTTTCCATTTTTTGTTCAGGTAGAGTGGGAGGGAGAGAGAGGAACAGAGAGAGAGAGAGAAACATCGATGTGAAAGAAACACATCGAGTGGCTGCCACCCGCACAACCGACCAGGGCCGGGGACAAACTGCAACCGAGGTACGTGCCCTTAGCGGGAACCGAACCCAGGTCTCTCAGGACCGCAGGCCAACGCTCCAAACGCTGAGCCAAACGGGCCAGGGCCACAGTGTTATCTTTTGCTTAACTTTTCTTGTCTCCAGTAGTTACCAGCTTTCTTCCTGATGAGATAGTGACAGCGGTGGAAACACAATGCCAGTCACTCTGTGCTGGTTCGGGGCCCATCTGGGGCCGGATCTCTTTGTATTTTACGAGTGAAGCTCATCCGAATTCCCTGGCGTGACTCAGCTCTAAGTCACAGGAAGCGCTTACCTTTTAATGCTGAGTCACCTCAGTGGCCACGGCCTCCTGGAGAAGGAGGGTGGTGGGCAGACCTGTCTGCGTTCAGAAAGGCCTCTGCTGTAATTAAACACTTAGTGGTTGGGAGCCTGGCCTGGCTTTGTATTTTGTCCAAGCACCTCACTTCGCCCTTTGACTCAGCCTGTGATCTCTGTGCGCTCCCAGAAATGTGCATCTTCAGCTGCTCCGACTGGGAGGAGAGTCACCTCTGAGACGTGGAGTAAAACGTGGGGGTCAGTGCGTAAAGCGTAGCCGTTCAGGGTCTTCTAAGACAGAGCCCTTGTGCTCCGTGCCCCGATACCGCCGTGCCGAGTGCCGCTCCAGGGGTATCACCGTGGTGCCTGGGGATAGTTCATTAGGTCCTGTGGGACCCAGATAGTTCCCACCAGCCTTGTCACCCCTTCACTTTGTATCTGAGAACTCGGTTTCTGTTCTGGGAGGAAGGACTTTTGTTCCTATCCCGGCTGCATGGTGTAAGGGTAAACTGATGTTGATTCAGTACGGTCACTGACCTGGCCTTCACAGACCGTCGGATTTCACAGGTGATGGGGCTTTATGCGTCTAATAAAAATATATATATGCAGCCTGGCGGTGTGGCTCGGTGCTTGAGCGTCGACCCTGCACCAAGAGGTCACCGGTTTGATCCCTGATCAGGGCACGTGCTCAGGTTGTGGGCCCGATCCCCAGTGGGGGGCGTGCAGGAGGCGGCCAGTCGATGTTCTCTCTCATCGATGTTTCCATCTCTCTCCCTCTCCCTTCCTCTCTCTCTAAAATCAATAAAGAAAAGAAGAAAAATATATATACATTTTAGTGTAACACTTCCCATTCGTTGTCCTGTTTGCTACATTGCTATTATTTTCAACATTTACTTCAAAAAATGTATTAGACCAACAAATCATAGTTGTTTGACCAGTCAGTCATTTCTAGGATCCATTCCCAGATTCCTGTTTTTGTTTTTCCAATGACAAGATGATTTGTCTGGGCAGTGGTCTGCAAATGTGTTGGAGACCGTCCTGGGGAGGTCTGCAATCAAGCTAAAATGCTTGACCGGTTTCCTACATGGGGCAACAAGAAGCAGAGAAAAGAGACGAAAGGCATCTCTTCGAGGAGCCCACGTGTGTGCCTGGCACACGGCCCAGAGATGCCCCACCCGGCAAATCCAGTGCCTCGCTGCTGAGACGGGCCCACTCGTGTTTACGACGTAATCGGCACACTCTCCACGCCTGCGTATTGAATTCCAGCTGAGTGTGGCTGTGGGAATTCGGGGAGCAAGGGGCCTGTGAGTGAAGGACCTCAGACCACCCCCGGGGTCGTCGGCCTGGAGCTGAGCCCCTTGTCCCTGCACCTGTTTACGCCTCGGTCCCCAGGTCCTGGAGCGTTGACGTGTCTGCCACGCTTTGCTGCGGGAAGGGACAGGCTTTGTTGGAAGGACTCTTACCCAAGGAGCGCTTACTTAAGCAACCGTAAAGACATCTTAAGCAAGAGTAAAACAAGTTAATGAGCTTTTTGGGAATGCAAATGGGTGTCAAGAATGAAAATGAGGGCCCTGTGAGCCCGGCCACACCCCTGGGCCCGGGTATTTAAGGGAGGCCCAGAGCTGGGGAACCATCGACCCAGCAAAGCATCCACCTGCTCCAAACCCTCCCCTCCGACAGCATGTACTACGGCAATTTCTCCGGGGCCGCATTCCCAGGCTGCTACTGGGGGAGCTACGGGTACCCCCTGGGCTACAGCGTGGGCTGTGGCTACGGCAGCACCTACGCCCCCGTGGGCTACGGCTGTGGCTACGGCTGTGGCTACGGCTTCGGCTATAGGAGGTACTGGCCCTACACCCTCTACTGAGCCGGCACCGAGGCTCCGTGTCCAGCAGGCTCGTCGCCACCCGCCGGCCAGTCCCTGCTCGACAGACCTCGCCGGAGCCCTGGGGATGAAGATGAAGACCACGGGCGGCCGCCGGCTGCCTGCCCTGGGGGCCGTGTGCCAGGACATTCTCGGGAGCTTGGACCCCCAAACTTGCAACCCTTTGGGATCTTCCCTTCGACCCTTGTCATGGCCGAGGGGTGGCTGGGTCCTTCAAATTCTCAATAAACGTGTCTGAATCCGCATAATGCCGGCTGCGAGTACATTGCCTTTGGTGGGGGGGGGGAGGCGTTCTGGTGCCTGGAGGGGGCGGGGAGTGGATGTGTTCTTCTCACGGGGGTTAGAAGCGGTGAGAAACCAATGAGCTGGTGTGATCAGCAGGCAAGAGGGGTGGCGCTCGTGTTGGATAAACACACCTGTCACTTCCTTCCCGGAGCCCTGTGCCCACACGACAGCACCACTACCGGGTGCCCTCCTCCCCGCGCCGCTCCCCCCTCCTCGGGCGTGAGGCCCACGGCTGCCCCGCAGGGACACCGAGTGTGGGCTCGCGTCCCACGTCTTCCGTGTTGTCTTCGGAAGCGTCAGGAGGCGCCGGCAGGTCCTGGGAGTCTGAGAGTCTTCAGAGGGATGAGCCCCTGGGGCCCACCACCGGAGATGTTGTGTCCCGGCCCGGCGCTGGCGATGGGGGGCGCTGCTGAGTCTTTGCAGAATCCACGCCGGGTACTGAGTCTCGCTCTTCAAAGGTGCGCGCCTTCCCAGAGGGCTGGAGAAGGTCACTAACACGAAGGAGCGTCTCCGGAGCGAGCCGGCCTTCCTCTGGTTCTGCGGGGAGGAGGGCGATAGGTCTCTTCTAAGCCGCGTGGGAAGGGTCTCCGTCCTCCGGCTGAAAGGTTACATGCGGAGTGACCGGTGGCTTCAGCGTGGCCGCTCTCCGGAGCGTGTGCACGCGGTTCCGTGGCACACGAGTCGCCTGGGTGGGAACACGGCGGGCTATCTGCGGAGGTCACTTTGGAGAGCATTTTCTCCACCGTGTTACACCCAATGGTTATCAGTTTCCTTTTAAAGCATCCTGTCCACGGGATTATTTTGTAGATTCTCTTCCTGTAGACTGTTGGTGTAGCCAGTGAAGTCTCTAGTTTGACCGTTTTTGGGGTGTTCACTCAGGCTGAAAACTGTAACTTACTCAACCACACAGGTTAGCATCGAAGAGCAAAGAGAAGAGGGAGTTTTCGGGAACTAGGAGGTAAAATGGGACCCAGACGGGGTCTGTTTGTGCTGGGAGGGTCACTGGCTTTGCTCGAAGAGACCTCTGACCCAGGGCCCCCCAAGCGTGGTGCGCCGGAGAGTCACCAGGCACGTGGCTCGAGATGTCAGCTCTCGGGTCCCGCCAGGAAGTCTGGCTTGGTGCCGCTGACGCGTGGTCCGGACGTCTTTCCAGATTCACTGAGGCCTCACCGACAGAAACATTGTATCTACTCACAGGGGACACCGGGCTGATCCGATTCTGCTCACATTGCGCGATGATGACCACACCACGCTAATTACCGTAACCGGCACCTCGCCAAGTGGCTGTCTGTCCGGGTGCATGAAAGGTGATCGGCAGCACGGACCCTCGGGGAGATGCGCATGCAAACCCGTCACCTCACACCTGTCAGACTGCTGCTTTGACACCAGACATGACACGTGTCGGCAAGAATGTGGCGGGGAGGGAGCCCTGACACGTCGGTGGGATGTCAGTGGTTCAGCCACTTACAGGAGTCAGCACGGAGGTTTCTCAAAAAACTAAAACTGGATCCAGGAGATGACCCGCAAGCCGTCCGGTGGGTACAGGCCAGAGGACATGAAGGTGCGGGTGTGACGGGGAGCTCACTCCACGTCCACTCCTGTGTCACCCCAACAGCCAAGGATGGGCGCAGTCTGCGTGTCCACAGCGCGGATAAGAGAAATGGGATATACATGCGATGGGATGTTATTAAATCATAAAATGTAAGAGATAAAAAGTTTAAAAATCATTTAAACTTATAATACTTTCATTTATCATTATTTAAAAAGAAGGAAATCTTGTCATTTGAAATAACCTGTGTCAGCCAGAAATCTGAAGTTTCAGGAGTGCACCAGGGGCTCACCAGGTGAGCTGAGGCCACACTGCAGGGAGCACTGTTTCAGGCCAGGACACACCCACGCACATGCGCACACACACATGCACCCCCACCCCCCACACATGTACTCCCCCCACCCCCCCACACATACCCCCCCACCCCCCCACGTACCCTCCCACACCCCTCCCACATGTACTCCCCCCACACCCACACACATGCGCACACACACATGTACCCCCCCACGTACCCCCCACGCACACCCACACCCACACACATGTACCCCCCACACCCACACCCCCCATGTACACACACCCACACCCACATGCACACACATGTACCCCCCCACACATGCACACACACGCACATACACACATCCACGCATACACCCCCCCCATGCACACACATCCATGACACACCCACACACATGCACACATATTTATTTACTTACTTATGTGTGCTCAGGAAACTGAATCTAATAAGAAACGTTGTTTACATCTCAACAAGATAAGGCAGAGAAGAAATATTTTTTATTGTTGAAAGTATTGCAGACGCCCCCTTCCCCCATGGACCCTCCTCCCCGCTCCCACAAAGACGCACACGCGTGCCCTGGAGCACCTGTGCTCGGCCCTCCTCTGAACACAAGCTGGAGGTCCAGGCCATGCTCTGCGCAGGGTGAGGGGCTGAGCTCATCTTTTCCTCTGCAGTGTCAGCCACGTGACTCAGGGCCACGCAGTGGGTTTTAAAAAATATTTTTTCTTTATTGATTTTTGAGAGAGCGGAAGGGAGAGGGAGAAAGAGAAACATTGATGAGTGAGAACATCGATGGGCCGCCTCCTGCACGCCCCCCACTGGGGATCCAGCTCACAACCTGGGCATGTGCCCTGACCAGGAATCGAACCGGAGACTCTTGGTGCAGGGTCGACGCTCAACCACTGAGCCACACCGGCCGGGCTGTGAGTTTTAACTGGAATTCATCCTTGGCACTTCCGACGAGAAGATTTTTGTTGGGGTCTGGGGTCTGCGCTCAGAAAACACCGCTGAGTCACGTGCCCACGAGTTAGCGATTTGGAGCAATTCATGCCCATGCGTTTTGGCTTCCTCTTTACCCTGAATGTAGGAGCAGGAGGGCCATCCATATTTCTACAGACTCCTAAAACTAAACCAGCCTGGATCCATCTCATGGATAAAGTGGAAAGACCGAGAAGAACAGTCCATGCTACATTGGGGTTCAGCCGTGGTCTGGGGGGCAGGGCCAGGCATCTGTCTCTAACTGTAGGTCCACTTCGGTCCGGAGTGTCCACACACAGAAGAAACTCAGTAAACACGGCGGGACTATCTCGTCTCCTCAACAGACGTGAAAGTGCGTGAGACACCTGTGTGCTGGCAGCTTGGAACTGCCGACGGTCAGCACTGTGGACGGGGAGCCGGGTGCTGTGCATCTGTCACTTGGAATCATCTGGGCAGGTCACACATGAAGGAAAGTATGGTTTTCCTTCCTCCTTCCTCCTTCATTGTTCCTTTCTTTTAGTTCCTTGAAAAACTAAGCGATGCATATTTAAGTTTTCCCTGCTAATAGCGGCCCCGTGGAACTGAGAAAGGTGGTTTGAATACTAAAAGCATCCTATCGAGAGAGAGAGAGAGAGAGAGAGAGAGAGAGGGAGAGGGAGAGGGAGAGGGAGAGGGAGAGGGAGAGGGAGAGGGAGAGGGAGAGGGAGAGGGAGAGGGAGAGGGAGAGGGAGAGGGAGAGGGAGAGGGAGAGGGAGAGGGAGAGGGAGAGGGATGCTTAATTCCTCTGTTTTAAGGTGGCCCAGAGTAGTTTTTCCCGGAAGAAAGGTGTGGCTGGGGCCCAGCTGGTGTGGCTCAGTGGTTGAGCATGGACCCTGCACCAAGAGGTCGCCGGTTCGATACCCGGTCAGGGCACATGCCCAGGTTGTGGGCCGGATCCCCAGTGGGGGGCGTGCAGGAGGCGGCCCATCGATGTTCTCACTCATCAATGTTTCTCTTTCTCCCTCTCCCTTCCGCTCTCTCAAAAATCAATAAAGAAAAGAAATTAAAGAAAGAAAAGGCGTGTGGGAACATCCTCAGCCCTCCCTGACTGACCAGACTCCGCGCTGCCAGGCAGGACCCACTGTGCCCCCAGGAGCAGGTGCTCTATGCGCTCTGCTGAGTGTCTTTGGAAGGACTTGTCTCCACACCCACCTCGTCTGGTTAGGGAGGCGTCTGCGCGCTGGGAGGCTCCCCAGATGTTTGGAACATTTCCCACCCCGAGGACCAGCAGTGTCTGTCCCGCCCGACTGCTCACCGCTGCTTTCTGCCGCCCCGGGAGCTCCCCTCTCAAGTGCTGGCGCCCGGATCCCGGGTTACGGGAAGTACGCGTCCTCAGTCGTGGCCGGGGGTCCGAATGCCTTAGGATATTGGCATCTGGTTCACGGAGAGGTGTGAAGCCCAGGCTCCTCCCGGATAACGTCGATGGGAATGTGCCACCCTGGTGAACACGTCCCAAGCATTGTCTGAAGGGTATTTCAAAGGCTCCCAACACCGCCCTCACCGCGGGGTCGGCCGGGAAAGGTTCTCCAAGTGGCAGTGTCCACGCTCCTGTCTGGTGAAGCTTCTGGTGGTGAAACCAGGGCTCTCCCGGTGCGGAGGGCAGATCCGTGCCAGTCTCGGGTGTGCAGGTCTTACTCATCCGCACCGCGTCCTTGCAGGGAGGACAAGGTGAAGTGGGATTTCCTCCCTCCCATGTTCTTTGTTAACTTACCAAACTTTTTCAGCCTCACTCGAGGCTATGTTTATTGATTTTTTAGAGGGAGGAGAGCGAGAAACCTCAGTCAGTTGATTCCCCCGTGCTCTGGAAGAGGATTGGACCCACGACCTAGGTGTGTG